GGGGGGGGGGTTTATTTATAGTTTTAGAGAAGGTTAATTTTGTAAATTGAAAAAAGGTTAAATTTTAAAAAAAAGGCTTACATCTAAGCTTGTAAATTGTAAATTGAAACGGACCAACCCCCTCTACCCCTCTTACCCAGCCCTACTCGGCCCCTATGTACCGGGCCGGTCCAGTTCCGATTTTTTCCGATCTGGGCCGGTCCGGTTACGGGTCAACCCGACCCATGTAACACCCTTACCCTACATCCAAGCAATAACGAGCGAGCATGTTACATCTAAGCTGTAGTACAATTGCATCATAACAGATAACGTCTATGTTTCTTATTTCTGCTTTCTTTTTATGGGTAGAGATGAAAAGTTCGCAAGGATGGCAATCAACAAACTTAAAAGCCTATGTTGTATCGTTGCATCTGTGTCAAATCCTTTAAAAATATACTATGAGTATCTAACGCATATATACTCATTGATATTTTTAAAGAGTTCGAACAATATAGCTTAAGGCATACATGTCTAAAATACCATCATGATATAACTTTTCATGATCAAAATAATTGGATTTTGAATTCTAATTATTTCTTCATGTACAACATAATTACATTACCAAATCTAAAAAATACTCTAACATTTTTATTCATCGCAACCGTGATGTGTATGTGAGGGGGAGAACTCAAATGATGAAGAACTTTCTGATTCAATAATCAGTTCAAAAAATAAATCAGATAATTGATGCTCTACATCCTCTGGAGCAAATCTAATAACATGAGCAGAATGTCTCTCTTTTACTATTGCACCTCTATATTTATTGTAAAATTCTCTATACACTGGGAGTATTTTTCTCGCGATTGATATTTTTAAATCATCGCGGAGTTTACTATCAGGTACGACGCAGATAGAATACTTACGGTGAGCTTCCGCAAATGATGAATTGAATCTCTTGAAAATCTCCTTCACTTGGTTGGGAGCCATGGATGTGCTTGGCTCTCGCGGGAGGGATTCAATGACGTGGCTCCATCCTAGCCGTTCATAGTTTGACGCGAACTGTTTGACCTTTTCCTCGTGTTTTGTTATCCAATTTTCGCCTAGCAAGTACTTGAGATTCGATGTACAGACTTTTACAACGACGTATTGGAGATTGTTGGCTAAGAAGAGATACGCCAGGAATACGTCCTTGTAGTACTTCGCTTTGCCGTCTAGTTTGCAGAGAAGAACGAGAATTAACCAACCGAATCGGAGTGAGATCGCCGGTGCCGGAGATTCGTTTGAATCGGAAATACCGAAATATGATTCTGGCAACGGAACTTTCGCCGGCGGAGGAGCCTCGGCGAGGATATCAGAGAGTACATTGCTGAAATCAGCGAGTAAAATGATATAATTCATTACATCAATGGTCAGATGGTGGATTCCACCGCCGGCCACCGGCGTTTTTGAGGATTCCTTCTGTAGAGCAATTTCAAATTCAGCTAACGCCGTCCTTATAGATTCGCCGAGCTTGATGAGTGACGTCAACGCTTGAGATCGGACAACGGATTCTGAATCGAAAGAAAATATAGCTTCAATCTCCGGCCAGTGTTCTGCAATGGCGGTGTACATATCGAGAAGACGGAACACTTTTTCCGGCGACTTCTTGCTATTTCTCGCCACATTTTCCGGGAAGCTAAACAGAATCATGGCTCCGTCTTTTGATATTTCAGTAAAACACGACTCTCTTATTGAATCATCTGATACAAAGACGTGATCGCAGAGAATTCTCTCTCCGTTGAACAATGTTTTCACGGCTACATTCACTGCGTTAAGCCAATCCTTAATTTTCAGATCCAATACTTCCCAATCCATTTTATGAACCTGCGAAGAACTCAATTTCTCAACTCCGAGTCTGTAAATGGCTTCAGCAATGATCGATTTACGTATAACTTTGTAAATCTTCACACATTCTTTTCCATAGCCAGAAGAAATCATGCACTCTGCTATCAATCTCAAATCCGCCATTACAACAGTAGAAAAGTCCTCAACTTCAGAAACAGACTCACCGGCAATTACACGATCATCATCGTTCTCATCGTCGATATCAGAACTACTCGAACGAATCGAAGTTCGAGAGGACACGGTGGATATGGATTCAGGATCCAAATGAGCTCTGTTCATTGATAGAATCTGGTAAAACTCCTTTTGGAGTCGTTTCACTGCAATTTGCATTAGAGATTGAGCACGAACAAGCTTATCGGATTTCGAATTCTCAGTTGAATGAAAGTGCATGGCCTTTTGAAGATTATACACACACTTGATAAAATCCTTGGCTTCTCTTCTATTCTCATAGAACAGAGAAGTCACTTTGGCGAAGGTAGTGGTGTTAGGGTCCCATTTCATGATCATCGGCTCCGCCATCTCCAGGGTCCGATCCATAACCGAATCGGAAAAACTCGGGCGAGAAGATGAAAACGAGAAACGTGAAGGGGAAGATAATTGTGAAGTAGATTGAGAAGTACTATCAGATGAACGTTTTGGAGAACAACAAAGATTTCTCAGGTCTTTTTTCGGCATATCGAACGTCTTCAGTTCACTTGTATTATCGAATTATTTATGATTAGTGTGTGATTTTTGAATGAAGAATGAAGATTTCAGCTCTAGGTTTGAAGATTTATGATCGGTTTTAATGGAGATGAGAGGGTATATATATATTATAGCTAGAGGAATAATAGAAAACGAGTTATTTAACTAAATTCTACAATATTAGGTCATTTACTTTTTCAATACATATAAAGTTAAACTCATACAAAAATAGTCATTGTGCTACGACTTTGGAATTGAAAAACTCTTTTTAGTGAGTATTCCCTTTATTTGGCTTTGCCGGGTGAATTCAAATTAAGCGGATTGTCAAAACAAAAAAAAAAAAAAAAAAAGTACTTTCTCTCAAATTATTTGTCATCATTTAGGTATCTCAAATTATTTGTTATTTTAGAAGTTAAGATAAAATTAATTATTTTTTCTCATGTTACCCCTAATAGTAATGATGACACATAATTAGAGTAAATATTCAATAAAAAAAATTATATCTTGAGGACTTGAACTTTGGAAGTCAGGCATGAGTGACACGTGGCAATCATGTAGGATTACTGTGAAATGACGGCTCTTGAAGGTCAACCTAATTGAATTATTATAATTTTCTAATGAGGAAATTTAACATAATCGTGAGCTAATTCAAACATTTTGGCATTTACTATAGCTTTTGCTAGTTGGACGTGCTGTTTTTTTCTTGGAAAATGATATAAGGATCCTATTCCCACGTGCCTTGTTTAACAAGAATTTGAAATAATCGTATATACATTTTTATGTATTCTAATGTTGCATATGTCTCAGTTCATCGTATTTAATTAAGTTTTAGAAATGGAAACGTCCTTATGCAAGTAATATTTCATTAAAAGAGTACGACCCCCTTACTCGGCTTGACTTTTTCACATATATTGATTAATGGATACACGTGGTGAGTTTTGTTTTTTATTTTGTTCTTGTAATCTCTGTGAGAGACAAACATGTCATTACCTAGAATATTGATTTTGTCACGGGGTTAGAATATTGTTGATTCGATCAATATATATTCCTAATGACATATGTCTCAATGAGACCTAATATAATTCGACTTAGCCTAGCTTCGGGGAAAGAAGATTGGGGTGCTCATGTGGAATAAGGTTGGAGATAAGTTATTTTCTATGGAATAAGTTATTTTATGTATATAAATATGCCTAATTATGTGAAAATGTGAACATATGATTACTCTTGATGGAATAGGGTACTCTTGGGGCATTGAACATTTGAACTTGGATAAATTGGAAATATTTCTTAAGTCTTATAATTGCCTTTTAATATGAAAAGAGGAAATGTCAAATATAACAAACCGTTCGCAACAACTAAGCCAATATCTAAGGAATACGAAACTACTTTTCTTTGCATTTGAACTTACAAATAAGGCATATGAACTATATTGCAATAATATACAAAATTATCTGTCCAAGAAAATCGCTATACCAGACTTTTTAGAAGATCTTTGTTTGACTTCAACTAATTGTTTATTACGAGTAAAATCCAATTTCTATATGATTTCGTTTTCATATCCTTATACTTTTCAATACAAGAAATGCCTAAGGAGTTAGTAAGTTCACACATGTACGTCCAGAGTATTGCTTAACACGGCTTTAATTTACAAGAGATTTTTGCCGCATGCCTATGATTTCCTAAGTAAGTTATTGAGAAATTGATTAATTAGTTTACTTTACTAAAATGAGAAAGAGCTTGTTCCTCATAATTAACAAGGTTGTTTTCTCACTACTAAAAGGTCGTCCCAGTACGTCATGAATTTCAGCGGGACCAATGGCTCGTGCATGTTATATACATAGGCGGATGCGGTGTATATATACTAGGTTCAATTGAACTCGGTACTTTCGGTATCGAGTATAAATTTATGTGTAAAAATTTATTGAAATTATAACAAATAATAGATATGGACTCATAACTTTAAATACGCAATGGGTTTAATACTAAAAACCTTAAAGATTGAACCCATAAATTTCAATTCCTGGATCCGCCTCTGGTTATATATACCCTTGAAAGCTCTGAAAATAATAGCCTTATGTTATGTCCTTCCCCGGGCCCCCTCCCCCGACCTACGGCCTTTTACGCTACCAATGTAAGTTGAATCTTCTCAATCAATCTTAAGCACTTGTAAGGAAGTGCATGTATAAAGGTTTCTTCTCTGGAATATCTTAAAAAGAAGGAGAGCCATCATTTTAAATTTATGGTTCGGGGATTGTAATCCTTTTTACTTACTAGCCGGTCCTTGAGTATGAGTACTCATATCCGTTCTTGGTTCATAACCGGTCCTATTGAATTAGTTGTACATGAATATAGTCTTCTCGGGGTCGGGGTTTCCTTTAGCGGGATTTCTAGTTTTAAATTAATAATTTGTATTTATTTAATAAAAATTTTAAGACAACTATATGAGTTGAACCGAATTTACTGAGTTCGGTCAAACTCGTAGTTAACGTTGTGGCTCCGCCTCTTATCTTAAAGACACACAATGACTCTATCCTATCTCGAACTCTCTATCGAGGTCTACACTATCCGCGTATCCTTGTATGTTGAAAAGGAATAGTGAATAAAACGCAAACTTAATTTGAGTTGTGAACTCAGAGCCTAATATCATATACTATATACTAATTCATAGATAGTGTAAGCACATGAATTACATGCAATCGCTTCATGAGGGCTCTTTTGAAAAATATTTTCCAAAACATATCTTCTAGGTCATCTTATTCACATCTCGACTAATTCTATCAGGTAATCTGTTACGAGTAATTTTATCTACCAAGACTTGGACAAATATAATTTGAAAGAAATTAAATATCATTTGACTCGGTACGAAATTTAAAAAAAAAAAAAAAAGTACTTTTAAAACTTAGGATCTTAAAAAGCTTTTGTGAGATTTTCAATTTCTGAGGCTTATAAGATAAAATAAAAAATATAAAGTTAAATTAATTTAAATATATAAATATGTCTTCTTTTTTTTACGGACTAATAAGAAAAGTAAGTCACCTATATTCGTGCTACTTTTGCTTTTGCTGGGATTTAAACCTCTTGTACTTTTTTACATTATCGAATAAGTAAAATTCATGTCTCGAATAATAATGAATTGGAAAAGAGAGTCATTTTCAGCGCATTTAATATTTCATTGATTTGGTCATTTAAATTATGTAAGCCCACATGTAAATTATGAGCAGTATCCTGAGAATTGCTGGCATATGCCATAAACTGGAAAAGACAATTCTTCTTATAAAGAGGAGAGTAGCAGTGCCGGAGTCGCACAAATAGTGAAAATGTCAATCATATATAGTGGCATTTCACCAACTTCGATCAATTCCCTACCTCACTTGTAGAGTAAATTTAAAAGCCTAACTAACTTTGAGTAGCTGGGTCAAATTCAAAATTTATATGCAGTCAGTTCGAGAAGAAAGCTTTTTTCCTCCGTTCAATTTATGTGACGGGGGCACCATTATTTTTTTCAGTGTCCCTTAAAAGCTTTTAGTATGTTTAGGGTGACAAGTTATTTATAAAATTATTTTTTAAGGTATACCACATACATATTTAAAAAAGATTTCAAAGTTTAATTTACGGGGTCCAATGACCCTTCAACGATACAAGTAGATTTGCTTCTGACGTAGTTTGACTCAGAATGAAATTTAAGAAGAAAAACTTTTCAAACTTATAATAATAAACTATGCCATAATACTTATGTGATTATAAGGTATTTGAGACTTATGATGTTAAATATTTCATAGCATTTGTTTGACTATATATAAAAACTTTTCATTAAAGGTAAAATAAGTACATTAGAAAGTTTAAAATTAAATTGTTTCCAAATATAAAAATATATCATTCCTTTCTAAATATATTAATAATAAAAGTGTGTCTCATAAATTGAATTATATTTTTGGATTTTCTTGGGTTGGCAACTGGCGTGTGTCTATTAAGAAAAATGATACTCCCTCCGTCCTAATTTATTTGGTATTATTTGACTCGGCACGAAATTTAAGAAAAAAATAAAGATTTTTGAAATTTATAATCTAAAACAAACAATAGATATTTGTGTGATTGTAAATCATTTCATTAAGGGTAAAGTAAGAAATTTAAAGTTAAATTATCTCTAAATATAGAAAGTATGATATTCTTTTTTGGACATACTAAAAAAGAAAGTATGATACATAAACTGGGATAGAGAAAGTAGATAAAGTGTAAATTGATGCCAGTTGAGAAAAGATATGCAAAACAAAAATCCGTGCAAGTTGTTAAAATATGTGACTTACTTTTCTTAATCCATGCAATTTGCCCTATGTTTTACTTGTAAAAAAAATCCGTGCAATTTGCCCTATGCTTTACTTGTAAATATTAACAATTTATGTTACGTTTGCGCTTCATTGCGTTATTTTGTGTGTAGGCTCACTTGGAAATGAAGTAGAATAAAAATTTGACAAAGAGGCGTTAAAGACAACAAGAATAGAGCACGAAAGGAACCATGATGCGAGGCCGCAAGAGCACCTCGCCCCAGAGGGCGCTAGGCAAGGCCAGAGGCGCCCAGTACCTTGCGCTAGAGGCTGTCTCGCGAGCTCCAGGGCGAGCAAAGAAGGGTGCCAAGCTTTGTTCCGAGGCGTGTTGACTCCTACTCAGCTTAGGATTTAGTTATTTCGTCTTTAATTGTATCCTAGCATATAAATACCTCTTTAACTTAGTTTTTAAAGATTAGACAAGTTTTGAAGAGGGGAGATATGGTTGGTACAATTGCAAGCAACGACTTACACGAAATTCTTTCAATTATACATATGATTTTTAGCAGAACTATGAATAGCTAATTTCTATCTAGAGTTTGATTGAACCTTTTGAAGGATGACTTCCTGTTAGGGATTTAGTAGATATACCCTTGTTCAAGTCTCATATTTGATGATTTGAACATATTTTTGTGAACGTTATTTGATATAAAATATATATGGCATTTGATATTCTTTTATCATTGTTATTAATTGCTTAATTAATTTGATAAGGTCCTTGATTAAATTTTGAGAGTTGACATTGTGATGGAGATCAGGAATATGAGAGTGAAGTTTCTTATAATTTAATCTAAATCTGTTCTTGATCATAGGATTATTAATTTGGACATTAGT